TTTTAAAATAAAGTAAAATAAAATGTTAAATGAATAAGACCCCATTTTGTATTGAGGTAATGAACTTTTCAAGGTTTTATTGGGATATTTATATTTTTATACTATGTGTTTTGGGTTTATTCAAAAATCATACATTCAATTTTTAATCTCATATACCTTCAAATTATATTTAATACTCAAATTTATACCTTTTCACAGTTAACTCTCGATTTTAAAACATAAAATACCTAAAGTACCATTAAATAAAAATAGAAAAAGAATAAAAACTAAAAAAAAAACTTTAAACTAAAAAAAAAGAATAAAAACTAAAAAAACTTTAAACTAAAAAAATCTAAAATACAATTGAAATGGGTTTTTTTGTGTTTTTATTTTTTATTTTTTGTAGTGTTGGAAAGTTTTAGTTTTATTTTCTCTCCTTTTTTTAAGGATAATTTGGTCATTTAAAGGTCAAAATCAATTATTGATTGAGATCAGCGATAGATTTGTATATTAAATCAAATTTAAAGATATACATTTGATGAGATCAAAAATAAAAAATATAAGTTTTAAATAAACTTAAAACATAAAGTATAAAAATGTAGATATCTCTTTTTTCTTTCCAAATAAAAAACAGATACATTTTTTAGGTTTTTTGGGAATAATGAAAAAGTTTGCAAAGTAGAAAAAAGCCAGGAAACATTACAAAAAAAAGGGTTCTTCTATTGTGGGACCTTATACGAAATGTGCATGTTTTTTTAATTCGTGTATTTAATTAAAATCACATCAAAATAAAAATATATACATAATAAATAATTTTTTAAACAAATCTAACGATTAAAAAGTAATAACATACCAGTAATTTATTTATTTTGAAGGTGTAGTTTATTTTTCAAACCATATAATAGAAATCTCTTTAAGAAAAAAAGGTGGGCAAATCATACATAATCTAATTGCGACTTGGTGGCCGGTGCATTCTCCACCTACTAACCAACGTGTCCTCAAATTTTGCCTTCTAAACTAAGAAATCAACCACTCGTTTTCCCACAATAATATTGGAAAAATGATTTTCAAACATCACAATCAAGAGCCCAACTCTTTGCACTCATAGAACTTAGAAGGGCATAAAAGTAATTGACACTCAATATAGTTCTCATTAAGAAAGTGGCATAAAATATCCATCATGTGTTCTAGAAAGGCCTCAAATTTGCGGAGCTAATCCTCTAGAATGGGCAAGGAATGGTTCAATTTTCTATCGGCCTATGCAACTTTAGCAACAAAATGATCACCCTGGATTTGATTTGCCTAATAGATTCCTTTAAATGAAAAACCATCACAAGCAAAAATCTTGCTAATCTAATCTAAACAAAAAGAAAATTGCCATTGTAAAATGGGCCCTACTAATCAATCCGGATAATGATTTCAGAAAATCATGAAATATTCAACAACTATAGCATATGGAATCATGCATGGCCTTTTGTCTTTCATTGTTCATTGTACTCTTTTCATTGCTCCCCATCTAAATGCCAACTCATGATACCCTCACATGAAATGCATAATGCTCATACAATACATCTGTCATATTGTATTATTTTACACAACCTTCCTTATTAGACTATATATATAATAATATATATTCCTCCTCAATACGACACAGAACTACAAACGGTTCGGTTGGGAACGGCTCCTGGGCCCTACCATGAGATCGCAGATTGTTCGGCTCAGATGCAGCCAAAAGGAATTGTGGGTCCCTTTAGTATAATAATATATATTCCTCCTCAATACGACACAGAACTACAAACGGTTCTGTTGGAAACGGCTCCTGGGCCCTACCACGAGATCGCAGATTGTTCGGCTCAGATGCAGCCAAAAGGAATTGTGGGTCCCTTTAGTTTATGATTGTAATTCTTTTTGGTGGGGTCCATGGTTCATGAATCATGGAAGCCTAAAGTGGGTGCTCTTTTTTTCCTTTGGTTCAAAATAGCATATTGTTCTGATCCGACTCATACAGGGATTGCTCATTTCTTCAATTTATTTATTTATTTATTTTAACTATATATGGATTGCCCTTTGAAAGAATAAGGCTTTATGTACATGCCATCTAGCCTCTCTTTAAGGTAACACATTTTTGACAAATGAGTGACAAGTTAAGATGCACTGACGCCTAGGTTGACCTAGATAGTGCAGAATATAATTGGCTAAAAATACGAAAGAAAGTATGAAAAGAACAAAATAATGTGAACCAGTTATTTCATAATCCTTGATTTTGTATTCTGTAACTCATTAGTATCACGTGTTAATATGAGTATATCCTTGAATTAAGCTCATTATTAATCTAGACTGAAATAATTAAGCTCGTTGTTATCAAAAGAATATCACAAGACACAAAGTGAAATGTAGGAGGTGCAGAATGCTTGGTAGCAATAGAAAAAGAAAAGTATCAAAAGGTGATTCCATCATTTGGTTCAATAAGACAATGACACGTGATTATCATGTGTTAATGTGCACGTTATATGTGCAAGTATATAATTGAATTTGTCATAATGTTATCAGTAGTGGTGAGTAACTTTACCTATAGAAAGTTAAAAAAATAAAATATAAAACAGAAAGTGAGCTGTATGAGGCTGCAACTCGATGCATGCCAAGGATTGTCCAAATTCGATAATTATGATATTTACTAGTAAATATGGTATTTACCGGTAAATATAGTGTTAAACGATCACTTGAGTCGATGACCAGATTTTCAGGTAAATATGATATTTACTAGTAAATACATTATTTATTGGTAAATACAATATTTACCTATAAATACAGCGTTAAACGGTCGCCAGAGTCGGTAGTCTGCTTTTCGGGTAAATGTGGTATTTACTAGTAAATACCATATTAAAAATTAAATATGATATTTACCGATAAATACAGTGTTAAGCGGTCATCAGAAAATTATCACCGGTCGTCAAAAAATGGTCGCCAGTTGCCATAACTGATCACCAGAGCCAGCTGCCGGTCGCCAGAGCCAGCTGTCGGTCCTGGCCATAATGGACTTGACTATAATTTACCTATTTTAAAGAATATGCTATGAGGGAGGAGTGAGGTGGAGAAAAGGTTTAGAGGTATATTTGGGTTTTTAATAATGTTTAAAACTTAAAATATCAAATTGCGATATATTGACTATTTTAAAAAAATATGCTATAATTTACTAATCACTTTACTAATTATGTTATTTTCTTCTTTATCTCAATTTTTAATGTGACAAAGGGAATGAGAGAGGGATAGCATCAATAATCGTTTTTATTTTTTTAAAATAATAATCAAATGAATTTGAAAAATCATTTTTTTTTAAATTTCTCTTAAGAATGAATTTTTAAAAATTTAATTAACTTAAATTTCGAATGTTGTAGAGTCTTGTAAAGAGGCAAATCAACACCGACATTAAAGAATCTAACCAATGTAACTTAGAATTACGGATATGCTTAATTTACTAATCCCATTTGCAAAGCTTAAGGCTTTGGTAAAGAAAAGAACCTCCACAACCATACCTTTTAAAGACGAGCACGAAAGGAATAATTGTGGCATATGCTAGGCAGCCCATATTCATATTATTCTCTTTCACCAAACCCAACGAAATATATAGGACAACGAAAGTTCCAATCCCACTATGCAATTTGTGGGAAATATTTGTGACTGTGAGTCCACACATGCGCTAGCTTTTGAGTTTCTCTTTCATCTTCTTATAGTGTTCTTCTATGAGGAACTTTAGGATGATGAAAACTATCTTATGGAGTTTCTTGTGAAATCTCCAAAGCATGCAATGTAATGGGAGAATATATATATATATATATATATATTAAGCTAATATATAAGCATGCAATGGAATAATAACATTATCTATTGATCATATATAAAGCTGATGTTTCGAATTGGCACTGCATGATGTTTTTCCTTTGATTCAGTAAAGTTTCCAAGCAAATACCATTTAAAACAGTATTATTCTTTTTTATTTTTTATTTTAGGAGACGTTCAAAACAACATTGGAATCTATTAACAATTCATTTTAAAAGAATATACTTCTAATTAAAAAAATGATAAGCAAATTAGACATAAAATATCTTTTCTAATTTTTTCTTTTTTATGGGAGTTTTTATGGTATGAATTGCTTGACATAAGCATATATATACATTTTTTATGGTATTAAATTAAATTTTTAATAGCCTGATTTAGGATTGTAATAATTTTATGTAATGCATTATAAATTTTAAATGCAGATACTCACAAATAAAACCGTTAAAATCTTAATTAAAAGACAACGTAAATTTATAATAACAGATAAGTGTAAAAATTCACATAACAGATTTTTGCCGTACTAAGAATAATTTTTTCAGACACGTATAATTCTCCTAACCAAAGAAAATTACGCTTTTATTAAATAAAAATTTAAAATGACGTGTCCAAACTTAACCAAACACACAGAAAGACAAATCAGGCCAGTTTAGTTCGCTGATTCGAGTTTTTAATTCGAGTTGAGATATGATTTTATGTGAAAACTTTTTACTGTAATAAAAAAGTTAGATATGATTATTTGTGAGAGTTTTTTACTGTAAAAAAATTTAAATTTTAAACTCAAATCAGTAAAATGAACCGGACCTAAAAAAGATGAGTAAGATTTGGTCCAAGCGGACGGCACCCCTCCAGGCTCCAAGGACCACTCAGAAAAACCGTACACACGGGAAAAACCATGCAGATGAGCACACGGCAGAGTTTTCATCCTTCCACGTCGTTTCGTTGTTATTTCGAAATTTCCGAAAATCGCTCGTGTCGTTTCATTGAGAAATCTCTCTGAAGTCTGACCTTTCTTTCTTTGTCTTTTTCTGTTTCACTGGATAACGACGACGATCCTGGCGGGAATTATCTGGTTATCAGTTTATCAGATGCCTCTGCCCCATTTTTACCATTTTACCCTTCATTCTTTCTCTCTTTCCGTATATAAATTTTAACTAACCGACCTCTCTTCCTCTCCGACGCGCCTTGGAAGCCAAGCAAATCCAACAATCGTAATATTGCCAATAATTTGAAAGAGAAAAAAAATTAGAAGGAAAAAAGAAAAGAAAGAGCTTGAAGGAGTTTGTTTGCTATTAATGGCGTTTTATGACAATTTCTGAGTCGTACTTTTCCATGTATTTATGTTTCTGAGTTCTCTTTCCGTTTTTCTCTTTGTTTCTGCCTAGATTTGCGCGTCGTTTGTCCTTGTCCGTTTGATCTCCCGGCGGTCCTGCAATCCCCGCCGTTGATTTCTCCACCGTGGACTTCCCTCCTCTCATTCTCTCTCTCTCGTCTCTTGTCTCTTGTCTCTTCCTTTCCGCTTTCTTGGCGTTGGCGGAGGCTCTTTCTTTTTCTTTTTCTTTTTCTTTTTCTTTTTTCTTTTTTTTTTTCAAATGTTATGAATGAAGTTTGCCGGCGATTGTTTCTTCTTCTTTCTCTCTCTTTCTCCCATTTCATGGAAATCACATTCTCTCTAGCTCTCTTTCTCTCTCTCTCTCTCTCTCCCTCTCTCTCTGAGTCTCTGTTGTTTGAATATGCGTTGAATTATGCAATTATTGATGGTGAATCGGGGATGCGAAGCAGAGATTGCTGCTAATTTGGGCGAATTTGATGGGGAATGGTGATGACCGGCGCTGTGTATTCCCTCTCACGAGTTTGCAAATCGGGTAACAAATTAAGAACTCATAATCATGATTTACTTACCTTAATTTAAATTCTCATTTGTTTTCTTATTTTACTTACCTTAATTTAAATTCTCATTATTATTATTATTATTATTATTATTATTATTATTATTATTATTATGTTAGTGGAGCAATTTCTGTTTCGAATTTAATTGAAAACTAGTGTAATGGAATTGAGTTGAATTGCGTTAAATTTACGCCCTTTTGTTGGATACTGAATCGAGGATATTTTTGCTTGAATTTGTTTTTGCATGTTCAAAGAAAAGAGCAAAATTAGAACCGAATTTCCTTGGAAATTGATATTTTTCTGGTTTAGTTCAATTGTCATTTTTATGCTATATGTTTTGTTTTTCAATTTAATTTCTTTAAACTTATTATTTTGCATGTTTGAACGATTTATTTTTGTGTTACATATAATTGCAGAGACTTGCAGTCGTATCTTTCCGATCTTAGCCTCTTTGTGGCCCTTGAAAGTAACAAGCTTTTTATCTTGGTCGACAACCGGCCATGGTTGAGAGACCGAGGTTCACGTCCGGCGCACTTGTGGCAATTTATGGTCACTAAGGTTGTTACGATAATCTTGATTTTATTGAAATGATTTTTTTTTTCCCTTCTTTGTTTAATGAAGGAATGTAACTGAATTCTGCTCAATTTTTAGTCAAGGTTATCTCCATTTGCAAATACCAAACCCCGGAGGGAGAAAAAGGGAGGCAAAGAGGCTTCATCCGGGTCCGATGTTGGCAAACAGAAGAAATTCGCGAGATGGTTCCGATTGATTGATGCAGCAACATTTTCTCAAAAGAGGGTTTTGCTACCTGTGAAGAAACTGCGCAATACTTCACTGTTAAGCAGTGAGCTGCATAGGACCTTGTATGGTTTCATTGTATTTGAAGTTGCGTGGAGCAATGTTCGAGGTATCAACTATTTGAATGAGCTTCAGGTAATACTCACTTCTACGTGCTTCATATTCTGTTAGTCCAGGTCTTTCTATGTTTACATTATTTTGGTTTATATTGCAGACTGATACCTCTCTGGCTATAGAGGCTAAATTCATGCAAAGATGGGAATTTGATAGTATAGCTCAAGCAGCAAGCTGTATGTTGTCATGGTTCCCAGGAACAGTCTCTGAGAAGCTGTTATTGAAGGAGTATCTAGATTCTGCCATAGGTAATTTTTGTTGTGGTTCCTTGTTAAGTTTTGTGCGAGGAAAAAAAAAAAAATCTCTATTCACTTTTGGACATGTCTGGGCATCACATCTTTATTAGTGGCACCTTTCATTTTCATGTGGAAATGACTTAGAGAGCCATTGTTAGTCATATGAATAGGGACTTGTATAATCAGCAAGCTTTGAAAATGCCTCGCACCAAAATCAGATATTAGAACTTTCTAAGCTAATCCTTTTTTTTGGCGGATGCATACATATAAGATTCGTAATTTCTTAGAATCCGAAAATGACTTGTTCTACTTCTAGGTGAAAATAACAAGCAGCATATGATACCAAGCTTTCATTTTGCGTATTCTGTTAAGAATTAACAATATTAGATGGTTTTCTCTGAGCTAATCAGTAAAAAATTCTGATTCTTCTTTGGAATTTATATTACATTAGGTTTTCGTTACTAATTATCGTCTCTTTTCTTTTCTTATTTTGCTTCATTTAGTAAGTAGGTTATTTATCTCTTTAGTAGTCATATAAGTTGAACTTGATATATGATCTCACATTTATTGCAAGAATCTTTTGTTAGTAATGTGATATTCTACCATGAGAGTAGATGTTCTGCCACATAGTTGTGGATGGAGTTGCTGTCTTTGCTCAAATTACAATTGAAAGAGCATATGCTGACAATTACGTTGATGTGTCCAGGAGAGGTCTTCTATGATGCTGAAGAAGATATACTGGAAACTATATCTGATGATAATGCTGAAAATATTTGCAGCAATAGTTTATCGATTGAGGACGATTCTCTCAACCTGGGTAGCGAGTTTGCCATATCATCTAATACCGATGAGGATGAAAATGGTGTTCAACAAACACCACTACCTCCTCCTAAAAGAAGGAAAGTAATAAATTCCCTTTGTAGAAGAGTAGAAGAGGATATGTGTTGTGAGGAAACAACAAACTCCGACGCCTATCCCAGCAATTGTGAAAATGCAGTGGAAGCAACCCAGTACAGGGATGTTCTGATTTTGTTCAGGTTCAATGACCATGATCTTCCTTTTACGCTAAGAAAAACAATAATGTCTGATTTGAGGTTACTTACTTTATTAGAGGCTGGGCTTCCATCTTGGGTTATCTTCCTTCAGTCATATCCAGGGTTTTGCCATCTTTATCGACCATGGATGTGCCCATTGGCAAGAGCTTTATATGTGCTTATCTCAATTGTTACCGTTCTTATAGGATTTTATGATCTGTACAAAAATGTCCCAGTTCTCAAGGCAACTGCATCTCGTTTGTTTGGGCCTCTTTTTGATTGGATTGAGACTTGGGAGATGATAACACGGATAAAATACTTGGGAACCATGCTATTTCTTCATAACTTTCAGAAGGCTGTTAAATGGTTTCTTACAATTAGGAGCACTACCAGATCGTTCCTTTCAGTTCTCACTCAACCATTTGCAGAGCCGCTGGTGGAAGTTTTCGAGGTTCTCCTTCCAGTGTGGAATGTGTTGATTGAAGTTGTAGAAAAATTGTTCTCAGTGATTTGGCTTCTAATTGGGTCCTCTTGCAGTCTTGTTGGGAACCTGGTAGAGATTATAGTGTTCCCAATATGGTTTGTTGTCTCACTCATCTGGAGCATTGGTAGGTCATCATCTGTTTTCTTAGAAAGTTTTGCATTTACGGGTTAATTACGATTTTTTTTATTTTGATTTGCAGCAACGACAGTTTTGTATCCTATCTTTTGGATCATTTGGGAGCTGCTCTATGCTCCAATTCGCATGGTTTTGGCACTCGCCAATCTCGTAGCTCTGGCGTGTGCCTCTATATACGAGATTCTTGTAGATATATGGGACTTCATTAGTAGCATCTTTCGGCTTGCGTCTGCTTCTAAGGCAACAGTGAGCACACATGAAGTTTCAATGTGGCAATCGCTTTGGAATGTCCTTTTTTCACAGGTTTGTCAGAAACTGTATATTTGTCTCTCTTGCTGGTGTTGTTTAATAAATATATTAATTGCCATTGTGTTTGTATATCCAGGTTTTTCGTGCTCTTAGGAGTATATTAAATGGTTTTGTTGCATTTTTCACAGCCTGCAACAGACATCGCCTTAGGTAGGCAGTAGGCTTATTATGTAACGCAGAACTACTTCTCTTTGTAACTTGTATATTGTTATTGCTACATTCTGGTCTCTAGCTTCTGATGTATGTTGAGTTTTGTTGAGATCTCATCTTTGTCGGTCATTTACAATTCGCATGGAACAGAAGATAGAATCTAATGATGAAATGGTGTCATCTTTGAAAATTTTTCTTATTGAATTTTGATGTACTTGCCTATAGTAGCAGATGGTTTTAGCTATAAATGAACAACTTTAGAGATGCAAATGTTAATGGACACTCTTGTTATTCTAATATGAAATATCTGATAGCATCTTAGGACCTCCACAAACCTGTATTCATGCCTAGCATAGTTGCATCTTACCCCCCAAAAAAAAAAAAAAAAAAAAAAAGGGATTATTTCTACTGTTTTGCAATCACAATCAACTGATTTGATATTTAGATCATTAACCGTCTAAACTTATTTTTGTAACCTTGATTAACCAAACTTTTTTTTTCTAATGCTATGGTTTACAGCATTTATAATCACTTTCTGGAATTTATTCGAAGATTGTTTGGTCGAACACCGAGATCAAGGCATGAAGATTCTAGGTTAAGTAGACCAAGAAGGGAGACTCAGAAAACGGTTAGTGTGCTTTTCAAATTTGTGTATTCTTGCTTTTTTACACAAGATTTCAGCACACAAAAACAGTAGCCTTAAGCCACAGTTACACCAGATGCACAAACCACCAAAAGCATCAATTTTCAAGATTACAAGTCTTTGAAGGGTAGTTCATTGCAACTCAGTGAAGTAGCTGGCTCTTTGCTTGATGATATGCCTGAATTTATCAATTTCCTTTCCCATTGTATAGTGTTTCAAAGATTTACTTTTGGTTACACAATTAATTCTCCGGACCATTAACGAATTGAAAGCATAGAAGAACGTTTATGTTCTATAAGAAGGCGGCGAAACTTCTGTGGGATGTGGGGATGATATTTTAAGTCTGATTCATTCATTTATTTGCTTGTCTTTTTCTTTTCCTTTTGTTGCAAATGGTACTGGGGATGATATTTTATTGCGCTCCTTGTTTATAGACAAAAACAGCCGACATGGGTTCATGTTTTTCTGATCATATTCTTAATTTTTGGATTCATGAATTGCACATGTTCTCAATTAACATCTCTTTTGGTCTTTTTTTAATTTTTTAATTTTTATTTTTTTGGCTGTGCAGTCAGATGTGAGGAAAGTTCACATTAGTTAGGATTCCACAACTCCTCAAAGCTAACCAAATCACAAGGCACTTCTCTTTTAGGAGCGCCAATCCGTATAGCACGAGACTCCTTTTACAACGGAAGAAAGAGAGCTAATCCAGAAAATAGGAGGAACAGGGCACTACAGTCTTCCATTCATACGGCAAGTGTATTATATGATATGATACCACTTGGGAAGAAGCTTCATTCTTTTATTTCTTTATTTATATGCGTCTCCTGTTGTTAATGCGCAACTACCTCCCCTTTAAGAATGCATCTTTTAGTTCCACAATTTAATTGTATATTCAAGGGCTACAGATACTCATTTCTATCATACCTCAATGTCTATATCCGGAAATGTAAATAGTATGCAAAAAGAGCAAGCCTGTATTATGTATATTATTCTTTAGCGGCCATAATTATCACAACTTTTTTTGTCAACTCCTGTCTTCAAGGATGCCGAATAGAGTAATTATTTGCTATGAATTTGTGTCGATTGACAACCAATTGAGGCAGTTCAATTGATGTTTAGGAGGTATGTGAATTGTTTTTACAATACCGAGTCTTGGTTTCAAGTCCTGGTATTTTTTTTTTATCTGAAAAATAGTGACAACTACTGCTCACAATAAGAAATGTCGACCAAATCGGTAGTAATTTTAGAAACACAAACCCTGCAAAGATATACTAATGCCAAACACAGACTATTCATCCACAAAATGACCAAATTCCACGATACCAGGAACTTCCCTAGTCAAAGGCAACAAAAGCTCATAATATAATACTGAAACCATTTAAAACTTTAACCGATACTTTCATACTCCTAACTAAGACCATGTCAATTCAACAATATCATAAAACGATATGTCTCGGAGGCTGATAACTAGGTCTTAAAGAAAAAAGGCAAGAGCCTTAATACCCTAATCCTTCATACTGAATCCACGTAAGGTAGTTCACTATATATAGCACTATAACAGCGGATGACTACATCGGTGAGGCGCCTCCGGTTTGGTGTAGCATAGCATCGATCTCATCACCATCCTCCATCTCTAGCTGCAACATGCAAAAGAAACGCATCAGTTATTTATTGCTTGCTAAGTGAACATGCAAATCTAAATGCATACACGAGAACCATGGAACACATTATATCATATTTATTATGTATATATGTACAGAAGGAGAGAGAGACCTCCTCAGGAGTCTGCTCTGTGCGAAGGCGACGGCCATCAAACAAGAATGCAATTGAGTTAAACTCCACAGATTGCCTATCACAATATGCGTTCATAAGCTTCTTCAATTGAGTGCTTCTCTTGATCCTGAAAAACACTTCATTCCCATCCTACAATAGAAAACAAAATTTGTAGGCCATAAGATAAAAGTTGTTCAATCCTAAATTAAAAAGAAAAAAAAATGGTCGGTGGAAATACAACGTGTAACCGCATCTCACAACAGGAAGGGTAGAAAACTTCAAACCGATTATCCTCCATTTAAAACACATAGGAATTCATGGCACACAAAACCAAAGGCGATTATCATGGATTGATAGAAAACATAGATTAGACTAGAAGAAAACAAAAGGAACATTAAAGAAAAAGAAAGTGTCGTTTGCAAAAACTCCTCAAATCAGGACTCGAGTACAATACAAGAGAGCAAAATGCACAGCCATAGAGTTCATTAAACATTGTCTGGACACAATTTTCTTTCCGTATGAATAAAAAACATTCGTAAAAGAAACAAAGCCAAGAAGCAAAAAAAGCCATATCCCACTTGGAATGAAACATATTATAAGACCGGGCAAACAACTATCCCAAGAAGAAGGAATAATTCAAAAAAGGACACTCAAAACAGTGTACAAAGTAAATGATAACAAAGACGCAAACATCATTAAAAACTATGTTGATCACATTCTCTTTCTTTACCTATTTCCTCATAAACCAAAACAGGAGTAAACAAAATATGGCCACACCAACAGTATCTGAGTGCTGCAATCCGCCCAGTTATATTATATGGTAGTGAATGTTGGACCATTAAGAGACAACATATATGTAAGATGAGTGCGGCAGAAATGCGTATGTTAAGATGGATGAGTGGCCATACGAGAATGGATCACATAAAGAATGAAGTTATTCATAGTAAAGTAAGTGTAGCACCAATAGAATATCAGGTGCACGAAAGCCGCTTGAGGTGGTATGGGCATGTCCAACGTAGACCGCTAGAAGCACTAGTACGTGCTTGGGAGGGCATTCTTATACCTAATATTAGGAGAGAGAGGGGTAGACCAAGAATTACGTGGACCGAAGTAGTTAGGAAATACATTATAGATCTAGGTATTCAAAAAAAATCTAATTTCGAACAGAGCTGCGTGAAAAAGTGAAATCCATATAGCCGGCCCTAAGTAAGTTGGGATTAAGGCTTGTTGTTGTGGTGGTGGTTGTTGTTGATAGTACAATTACAGGAAGTAGACAAGTATCCTAGCTTGTTATTTATGGTGATAAATAAATGATCAAAAATCCTAGCAAAAGTCTGAAGTTCCATAAACAAAATAGAACGCGTACTAAAACTGGTGCAGAATCATAAACCTGCCAAAAATTTGAGCCAAAAAAACAAAAACAAAAAAAAAAAGCCCACTAACAAAAAACAACTAAACTGGCCAGTAAGACCTTTGAAAACCACTAACAAAATTATAACAATATCTTTCCTTGCGAACCAAACACAAACGTCATGACCGATGCTCGCGAGTCGAGCAAAGCAGAAAATAAAAGATCAAAACACCAAAATTCCAGAAGAACTGCAGAAAGAACGCCTAAAACACGTAAAATTGCCCATTTCATATACAAAAATAGATCTTTATACCAGAGAAGTGGCTAAAGTTATAGTAAGTACACTTTACAAACACAACAACGAATAAATAAATAAATAACATAAATAATATAAATTCCCACAGACAAAACAAAGGGAACAGAGGGAAGGCGAATATTTCCAGACAGTCAGACTTGAGAAAAACAAAACACACAAAAGAAATGGAGACTTTCCTGTACCACGCTTAAAAACACCCGATTTTCTCAGGAAACAAACAGCGGCTAAACCAAAAAAAAAAAGGCGCAAAACTCAACCATCAACACCAATAACCCGATTAAGAGAGAGAGAAACCTGGCCTTTGACTTTGAGATTGATGTGAGCCTGATCGTTGGGCTTCTTGTCCTCCTCTGTCTGCTGGTTTACGGTTCCCGACATCTTCTTCTTCTTCTTTCTTCTTTCTTCTTCTTCTTCTTCTTCTTCTTCCTTTGTCTGCGACAAGAGAAATTAGGGTTCTCTTCTCTCTCTCTCTCTCTCTCTCTCTCTCTCTCTCTAAAGGAAAATCGGAGAGTCTTTTTGTGTTTTGTTTGGATTACTTATACTGATTTTCCTCTTGGTACCACCGACGGCCTGTAGTGTAATCTTGTTATGTGAGATTTCTCTACGTGTGCGTAGTCTATTGGTTGAAATCTTAACGGTCGTCGCTCTGTGAATTGACCTTTCTGTCTACAGCCAATGGGATGCTGACGCGTTAGGGGTTATAGTTCCGTGATTGCCCAAAATTACTATGGAGTATGGACCAACTCAGAGTTTTCTCTTTTTCCCTTGGGAAAATTGCAACCTTTTAATAATAATTTTAATAATAATACGTTAAATTATAGATAATAATTTATTAAATTACGTCTCTCATTAACGATTAGAGACCCACCGTTACTAATATCTGTCAAATTACTTATTCTAATAATAATTTTAATAATAATACGTTAAGTTATTTTTTAAGAAATTGCTACAATGACTACCTTAAAAATTGAAACAAGTGAAGCCATTTTAAGTCATTTTATATAGAAGTGTTTCTTTTAAAGTTATTCTGCAAATCTAGTCACGTTTTCTTTTTTAAGGTTGTGACTGAATCCAATTCATGATATCAAATACCGAATACTAGTGAATACGTTTTCTTTTTTTCACGTTTTCAATATTGCATAATGATGTAGCTCATTCCATTTTGCAATTTTATCATTCAGGATAGCAAGTATATCAATTTCACTGTCATCGTCGTTGTTAAATATACTCATGGATGAAAAATGTCCACTACATTGTCGACATTTATTTGACATTGTCTATATCTTGAAGTCTCACCATAAATGCAAGAGAAGAAGATATTTTCTGCAGTGTCCGTAAAATGTTCCCAATATTTAAAAATATATGCAATATTAATTCATGATATTTTTTAAAATATCCACACAATGTCTAAAAATAATAAAATCATCTTCTATTTTTGCAATAGGATCAACTTTGTTGCACATTTTTTTTATTTTTTATTTCTACGAAATGTGACAATTAAATGATAGAAAACTACATATAATAAGACATGCCATAATTCAAATGAGCCAAATTAATTAAGATTTTGTTGCCTTGAGTTTTAATTCAGGAGCTTAGGAACTAAACAAAGTTCATACAGTTATTATCATACATATAGTTCTCAAATGGAGTCTAATTCAAAGGTACAAAACCAATATGATTTATTTGATATATTCATGTATTCTCCATCAAAAGTTAGTGTTGAGAATGTCATTACATATCACTACACATCCATCAAGACTACTCATCAAGTTAAATAAACCAACAACATCCAACTTATAAATTAACAGTGGGAATAGATCAAGAAACATACATGTGATACATTAATGGGTACCTCCAAAATTATTCAAGCGTAATATCTTAGCAAATGTATTGTTTAGATCAAGAGTGTAATTATCTAATGCCTTTCAACATGTTAGAAACTCTTTTTGATATTAAAAACACTTGAAGTTTGTGTGTATACTATATTATGTTTGGTAGTTAATTTTTATGTACTCTATTATATTTTATAATTTGTTTGTAATGAGTATTTAAAATTATATCGGAACTATAATCCATGAATAATTATGATAATTTTCTATTGTACTATGTGACATAACTCTTAAATTCTTTTTTTTTTAAATGGGCATAACTCTCAAATTCATGTCAAAGTTTTATTATTTTTGTTGTTAAATTAGTTTGAATTAAGTAATATAATTGTTTTAGTATTTTGTATAGTTTTAACAAAAAAGTTTTAAGATTTTCTCAAGATATTCATTTTTTCTCAAAAGATCCATGGACGTCGGCATTTTCATCCTTGATTATACTATTCTTCCCCTACACTTCACATATTCAATATTCACTTACAACAAGGTTAGTAAATTTTCGCGCTTCTAATATTGTTGCCAAGAATTCTTCTCTCTGTCCAGGAGAACAATTTATTAAGAAAGATATGCATTCGAATATATGATTTATGAATCATAATTTAACTTTTTTGTTATAATATTTTTTCTTAAAAAATTACTCAAACCTGCAAAAAAACGATTATTATTTTTTATTTTTATATTAGTTTTACATTTAATGTAAAAAATTTAGGATACACTTGCTGCAATTATTTTTGATAATAATCAGTAGGTTCCGAAATTTGTTAATTTACAATATGTGTAGGACAACAAGAGCATCCATTTGCACATCAGGACAAGTAATCTGTAGACAATACAGCTGAAAAGTACCAACATTTTCATCAACAACTTTTACAGCCATGCCAAATCATTAGAAAGCAAACTTCTGTACCTAACCAGCATACAAATTTGCGAATCAAAATTTTGCAGAATGGGACCATTTTTACCTGGACGCAAGTAACGCGTTTTTATGGATCAAAATCTCAATACCCCACAAGAGTACAAGGTAGAAATTTACTTCAAGCAGAGCAGCACTAAAGTAAGATTCTGAATTCACTTGCATGAATGAATGCATGACCTCTGTATTGCGTCAGGAACTACCATTCTAAGTTTATCATCCCCCCAAAAAAAAAGTAAGAAGAAAAGAAATAGAGAAGATGAAAAATTATTTGTGCGTTTAGAATTCGTTCTAAAATGATTTTATTTTTTGTATGAAAATAAAAATGAAAATGTTTTCATTTTCATTTTAGAATCATTTCTGAAAATGCATTTGATAGTTTTATTCCGAGATTGATTTCAGTATTAATTTATATAAATAAACTATACATCTTTTAAAATAACTTAAATAGATTCTTAAAAGAAATTATAAAGAACAACGATAAGTATTAATTTATATAAATAAACTACAATGAAAGCTACTAGCAAAAAAAACAAAACAAAAAAAAAACACGTTAAGGTTAAAAAAAATAGACATAAAAGAGGGTAGAATAGTAGTTGTCTGTTCATTAGATATGCTGCTCACCCCTTTCTGCCCAATTGTGGACGGATTGCAAATATGTGGGGCCCAGGGATTTGCAGCCCCTGCCCCTTTCCTCTCCCACGGATTGCAAACGGTGGATTTATCCTTTCCTCTCCCAACTTTCCATTCACCCCTTTCCTTCCTTCCACCAATCCACCCTACCAAGCACACTCTTAATATTAGGTGCCATTAATTTATTAAAATTGCTCTTTGTAAAATTGTCTAACAATCCGGATAGCGACACGACGATACGACTTAAAATTCGCTCTTCATACGGATTTGAGTTCATCATAAATAAGTTTGGATCAAAATCATGTCGAACATGTGAAACACGATTAAATAACGTGTTATTTTCAGGTTGACTCGCCAACCTACAATTGACCTGCCGTAATTTGTTTATTAAACTTCTCATATTTAAGTAATACGAATACACAACACAATGACAACCCGTTTGTTACCTATGTTTACAAATATATATATTTTTAAAAAAAAAACAAGTTGAGAAATAAGTTAACACGACCTTATTATCACTCATTTTATAAACGTGTTATTAGAAATAGGTTGACACGATATTATTATGACATGCTTAATAAACGGGTAAGTCGTATCGTGTCAACCTGTCAATATACAGGTCGTATTTGAGTTTTATATTTCGACACGAATAATAAATGAGTTGTATTCGTGTCAGGTCTTACCGTGTTAAGTGAGGAAGTCAACATATCACGGTAACACAAATTGACACTCCTAATCGTTAAAAATACTTCATTAATTATTTTCCTAATCAATGAACTTTTCCAATCCAACACATTATGAACGTTAGATTGACATAAGCAAAACTAGCATGATATGATATCAAACCACATTATTGTATTTTAAAATAGACCCTCACAAAAAATATTCTTGAATTTACTAAAAACAATAGTTTTTTCAATATTAGGTGCCATTAATTTGTTAATGTCTCGTTAATTTCACCGATTTAAATTTTCAGTTTTAAGTTTCTACAGTAAAAAATTCTCAAAAAATGTCACATCTAATTTTTTCTGCTACAGTAAAAAATTCTCTAAAAATGTCACATCTCAATTCAAATTGAAAACTCAAATCCGTAAAATTAAAATTTGTTGGTAAAAATACTCCGTTAATAGTTTTACAATCCGACAAATTATGAACGTTAGATTGACATGAAGCAAAACTAGCGTGATATGTCAAATCATATGATATCAAACCGCATTACTACACTATTATCTTGTATTTATTCAATTTTATTATTGTTATTATCTTGGAGACTTGGACTGATTATCAGCATGGAATCTCTGGCATCCTAGAAATGTACGACCTTGTTAACGTTAACCAGCTCTAGAGGACAATGACGTTTGAGACCTATCAAAAATTTACTACTACTTTAAAGACTACGACAACCAACAAAATAATGACTTTACCAAGCATTACTTCCCCAACATCATTGCATTATATATATATATATATATATATACATATTGCTAATCAAAAATCATTGCATCATTTGAGGGTGGTCAAACTTTTCTCTCATCTTATAGATCCACTGTAGCAACGTTCAAAAACCCACACAAAGCACCAACATCCATTGGGCCTGCACGGCCCACGAAGGGTCCAACGTGACTTTTCCAGCTAATCACAGTACACGCGGAGGAAATCTAGCGGAAGGTGCATGCAAAATAATGCACCTGAGGAGCAGCATTGTCAGAGTGTGTGTTCAAAACGGTCGAGTTTGTGGATGTGGGGCATCGTGATGCGTGAGAGAGAAGTGGAGCCACGTGGGAGAGAGAGGGGGAGAGGTGGTCCCCACTAGCGTCTCTCAGCTATTTGTTCTTGTCAAGCCGCTGACACGACGGGTCCCACCTTCTCGATCGTCTCAATCACTTTCTCTTTCCATAAATACCCCTCCCTCACTGTCTCCAGACTCTCCACTTCTCCACTAGCTCACACTTACACTCACTCAAACGTGTCCGAACAAAAATAACATAAAGAAGAAGAAGAAGAAGAAGAAGAAACAGAGCATGGAGCGTCACTCGGTCTTCTTCTTCCTCATTTCTATTGTAGCATTTGCAGGTAGAAAAAATTTATTAAAAAAATGAAAAATGAGAGTTTTTTTTTTCTTTTCTGATTTCTAATGCGACGTCGTTTTTTTTTTTTTGGCAGATGGAGGTTCGATCGGAGTGAACTACGGGAGAATAGCGAACAACCTTCCGTCGGCGCGGAAAGTTGTTCAGCTTCTAAGATCGCAAGGCCTGGAACGAGTCAAAGTCTACGACACTGATCCGGCGGTTCTGAAGTCACTTTCCGGCTCCGGCATTAAAGTGACCGTCGATCTTCCCAACGAGCTTCTCTCCTCCGCCGCTCGCCACCAGTCCTTCGCCAACTCATGGGTCCAGCGAAACGTCGTCGCTTACCACCCCGCAACCCAAATCGAAGCCATCGCCGTCGGGAACGAGGTCTTCGTCGATCCACACAACACAACAACGTTCCTCGTCCCCGCCATGAAGAACATTCACGCCGCTCTCGTGAAGAACAACCTCGACTCCTCCATTAAAATCTCCTCCCCCATCGCTCTCAGCGCGCTCCAGAACTCTTACCCGGCCTCGGCCGGGTCCTTCCGACCCGAACTCGTCGAACTGGTTTTCAAGCCATTGCTGGATTTCCTCCGCCAAACCGGGTCGTTCCTCATGGTCAACGCGTACCCGTTCTTCGCCTACGAGTCAAACTCCGACGTCATTTCGCTGGACTACGCTCTGTTTAGGGAGAACCCCGGGGTTGTCGACGCCGGTAACGGGTTGCGGTACTTCAACCTCTTCGACGCCCAAATCGACGCCGTTTTCGCCGCTATGTCGGCTCTGAAATACGACGACATTAAGATGGTCGTAACAGAAACCGGCTGGCCGTCGAAAGGCGACGAGAATGAGATCGGCGCGAGCGTGGAGAACGCCGCGGCGTATAATGGTAATCTCATCCGTCGGATCCTCACCGGCGGTGGGACACCTCGGAGGCCGAAGGAGGAGCTGACCGTCTATCTCTTTGCTCTGTTCAACGAGAACCAGAAGAACGGTCCCACATCGGAGAGGAACTATGGGCTGTTTTACCCGGACGAGAAGAAAGTCTACAACATTCCATTCACAGTTGAGGGATTGAAGGACTACCACGACGACCGGTCGCCGGTGACTGGAGGGCGGCAGGTGAAGGCGCCGGTGGAGGGAGGGAGCCCTAGGGGGAGCGTTTCGAAGAGCTTGACGGGGAACACGTGGTGTGTGGCAAACGGGGAGATGGGGAAGGTGAAGCTGCAGGCGGCTCTAGACTACGCGTGCGGGGAGGGAGGCGCGGACTGCCGTGGGATTCAGCCGGGTGCCACGTGTTACGATCCCAACACGATTGAGGCCCACGCCTCCTTCGCCTTCAACAGTTATTATCAGAAGAAGGCACGTCAGATGGGGTCGTGCTATTTTGGCGGCACGGCGTACGTCGTCACTCAACCACCCAGTGCGTATTCTATCCTTACTCTTCAAAATTTTACTTCTTTCTTGGGCGCACGTTAGATAGATGAGCATGATAATTGCTAACGTACGCCGTGTTACTCTTATTGGGTAAAGGCGTCCACTTTCCACAGTGGTGCACGCCGGGTCATGTAAGGTTAAACATGGTCTCGTTCCCTAATGAGTTGCAGAGAATTCTTTGCTGACGTGGCGGGGACTTTTTTTTAGGTCTCGCTGATTCGAGTTTATTCAGTCTGATTCATTTAATTAATTTTAATTTTTAATTTTAATTTTCCTACACTTAAAAATTTTTATAAAAAATTATATTTAATTTTTTTTTTTTTTTTACGTAAAATCACGTTTTAATTTAAGTTAAAAATTTAAATTTGTGAAAGACTTTAAGTTTTTAATTCTAGAGACGTCACTTTTCGAAATAATTTTTAACTTAAAAAAAATAATTTTTTATGAAAAATTTTAACTGAAATAAAATTAAAATTAAAAACTTAAATAAATAAAATAAACAAGGTGTTTTTTATATTGACTGCCGTAGTAATGACCTGCTTAATTTTTTTTTTTTTATATTGACCGCTTAAATTTCTTTTTTTATATTGACTCTGGTAATGATCTAAGGTGTTGGGTTAAATGTTTAAAATAATTGGGACTTGACAGCCATGAATTTTGGCTTTTTAACATTGGTAGTACAAGAGGGTAAGTAAGAGCATTATTGAACCTTGAAAAATAAGGTAAAGGCTTCTTGAAAGGTGGGAAGTCAAAGATATCAATTTGTTGTTTTTGGTGGTACTATTTGTGCTGTGCGCATATTTTTGCATATTATTTAAATCTACTGAAAATTTTTCTTCTTCTGATTTTCGCTACAGGGTTTGGAAAATGCGAGCTTCCCACGGGGTACTGAAGAGAAAGATAAAGCAAAGGATTTTGGTTGATCGAAGATCAAAAGGAAGGGTTGGGATTTAGCTCTTTATTATATTATATAATGTTGTAGTTTTATTTGTAGTAGTTTGGTCGTTGTATGGTTAATTTTTTGGGGGCCTCTATTTCTGTATGTATTTTGTTTAGGGCGATTTGGTGGTTTCAGACGGTTTTAATTTAACTTAACCACTATGTTTGTAATTAATCAAATTAATTAATTTTCACTTCACTACGTTTATGTTGTTCCTTTTATTGTAATCCTTATATTGATTTTCCCTTAATGCTAGTGAATAGAAAAAGAAGACTCATTTATGATTTATCTCACGTTTTTGGAGTTGCTAAATGGGTGAAATTGATCGTTTTGTATTTCTCCTTTAGCTTTGCAATAAGGTCATGTATCTCCTAGAGTCGTTATTGGCAGATCATTATCCTCTTTTGCTGATGTTGAGCTTTTCACCTGCCTCTTTTCAAAGAATTAAAGACCGATTTCCTATTTGAACCACTTTGGTAAATCGAGAAAGTCCATTCGGACCATTCATGCAAACAAACAAGACAAAAAATATGGAAATGATATATATCAACACCAATGGTACTTCTTAGACAAACATTATGCAAGAGTCAGCGTCAGCATTGTAAAATTTATTTCAACGTGAACAGTGATCAAAGAGCATATACATTTTTGGCTTCATGCAGTTTGAACTCATAAGCCCGATTCAAGCTGGAGTTCAGATGCGCATTGATTGGAGTTCAAGCTGGAGTTCAAATGTGATATTTGAACCCATCTAAAACTAGTTTTGAAGAACTTAGGCCTCGTTTGCTTCGCATGTTTGAACTAAAATAAACTTATATGGGTTTTAATTTTGGTTCTAAATGGTGTTTGAAAGTGTAAAGTTTGAATGAGAATAACACATCAGATCAAGAAATAAATTTTGAACTCTGTTTGATTTGGTTTCTTTTTTTTTTTTTTTTTTTTTTTTCAAAAA